AAAAAAAAAAAAAAAATGAAAAAAAAAATGAAAAATGAAAAATAAAAAAAGAAGAAAACGACATGCGGTTTTCGTAAAAGAGATTCTCATTAACTTGGCGCACGTCCGCGCACGTCGATCGTTCTTCTCTGTACGTCTATCTTATATTTCATCTGTATGCCCACACACTTGACAGAAACACGCACAAAAGTCGGAACGAGAGACACCCTTTTCTTTCTTTCCTTTTCTTTCTTTTTCTTTTTTCTTTTTTTTGTGAAGCACCGGTTTTATGTATTAGCGAATAGTAGTACGCATAGTATTAGTTGGGCGAGTGCGCTAAGTGCTACACCCCCTTTTTCCGTTCAGCGAAACAGTACGAAGAAGTGACAGGACAATGTGTGCATATCGCCCGCGCCAAAGCAAGTTCTTAGGTGGGGGATGTGAAACGTACTTAAATACTAAGGACGAGCCACCCCTCGTGTCTCGAGGAGCGATCGTTCCACCTCTCTCGCTTTCTCTCTCTTTTTAGACTTACTCGCAATTAAGGCACCCTCGTTACGTCTATCTCCGTTCTTTCTTTCTCCTTGGCGGGAATTCTCGCGAGAAACCCTCGTTAGCCTGGTGTGTTAGAAAGGACGGACGGAATCCCCAGCAAAAGTCCTGAGAGAGACCAACGGGGTAGGGTAAGAACCGATCGTAGAGAACTCGAAAACGTCTCGCGATTACCCCGATCTTAATCTAGCGGAAGATCGATCACTTTGCTCGTGTCTATGCAATTCTCCAACTAGGTGTACATACGTACGTACGTACAGCGTGTCGTCGCGATCGTCTACGAGTCGTTGTTCTTCACCCCGTTGCCTCTCCCAAAGACGGAAGCGCAAGAAAATTTGATTACCGCGTTTGAACGATCGTGCGTTAGTCTGAGAGACAGATAGTTGTAGTAGCGTTAGTGCGTAAAAAGACAAATGTAAAAGTAGATAGTTTTTTTCTTTCTTTTTTTCCTTTGCGTTGTTATCATCTACGGCTTCATCGATACATGTGAAACAACAACAGCAACAATAACAACAACAACAGAAAGAGAGAGAGAGAAAGAAGAAAAGAAAAGCCAGGAGAAAGAAAGGCCGAAACGGACGAGAATCGAGGGTGCGCTCGACTATCGTAGATACTTACTGGCAACGCCGGAGGCATTCGGATCCTTGTGGGTGTGCTTCATGTGCTCCATGAGAGCTTCGCCACCGAGGAAGAGTTTGTGGCAGACAGGACAGCTGGTTGCGTTCGGGCCGCCGATCAGGGCGGCGTGTTGCTGGAACACAACACGCTGTTGCAACTCCTTTTTTGAAGGCCGGAAGAAGAGGAACACCGGAAGCAGGCACACGCGGCGCACCGGTAGAGAGCCGACCCACAGAATACCACCACAGAGTCGCGAACCAGAAGCGCAGGACAGGCAGCGCACAGAACAGAACGATTGACCAGTGAGAGTTAGGATACCGATTTACTGCCGCCACCACGAACTACTTTTTTTTTTCTTTTTCTTTTTCTTTTTTTTTTTTCTTTTTTCCTTGCAAAAAGGTGGGAATTCACCTCGAGTGTCTGGCAGAGGGAGAATGTAGGGAGGCATTTGGGGAGAAGATTTTTATTCGGGCGTCGGGCGTCGAAGCTGACTGACGGATCGTAAGTTGACGGTCGATGGAACAAGTGATGATGGATGGAACGAGACGGATGGATGGATGGATAGGGTTGATTGACATGACGCGTGGTTGTCTTTCTTACTTCTTTCTTACTTTCGTAGATTGCTAGAATGTAAATTGGCGAAAGGGGAGTATACGGAGCGGAAAGAAGGACGTATACGAGAGAGGGATAGGAAGGGATAGAAAGCAAAGCCCAGACAGACGAATGTATAAAAGCGTGAGGTCTGAAGAACGATCGGAATGAATGAACGCGGTCAGAGCAAGGATTCGTCAGTGCGACGGCTATTTAAAACAAAAAGAAACGTTACAGCTTTAGCGGAACCATGGATCTCCGATTGATCTCGCACGACCTCACAGATGAACGGGAATGCAAAGCATAGATCAAATGACTAGCAACTACGACACAATTGCGATGGCCTTTGTCGCATTTAATCGGTATTTAATCGTCGACGATCGGTAATTCTTGTAATATATACGTTTCTTCGTATCTGATATAATCGACGGATTATAATCGACGATGAGTGCTTGACAAAGGCCATCCTTTAAACAGATAATATGAAGAGTAATGAACGAAATTCGACGTCCTCATTGCAATAGTATCTGTCTCCGTCATTGGCGACCTCGCGTTAAGGCACAATTCCGCGGATCGCAATACGTTGTGTATGGTATTTGAATCGTTCTCTCGTTTTCTTTCCTTTTTTCGCGGATTTTTTCCTCTTTACCTCGCGTCTATCTCATTTCAGTTTCCCTCTCTTTTCTCTCTCGCACACGCGCGAAGGTCGGTTATACGCACACGAGGCGGTAGGGGCACGCGCTTGCAGGAAAAACATGGCGGTCAACCTTGCTCGAAAGAGTCTGTTTAAAACGGAGAGAAAAAGAATACGAAGAGGAAGGAAAGAAGAAGGAGAAGGTGGGAGGAAGGAAAGGCTAAAACGAGACCAGACGGCAATGACCCGAAAGTTTTCGGGTCTTTACTCCTCGGGTTCTCGTTCCTTTCTTCCTGCCTGCCCTTTCTCCCCGTCCCCATCCAGCTTTCGATATACACACGACGCATCCTTCTTTTCTCTTACGCTCCTTCCATCTCTTCTCCTTCTCCTCCTCCTCCTTTTCCTCCTTTTTCATCGCGGGCGAGTCGTCCTTCTCTCTTTCTTTCATTCTTTCTCTTCCCCCCTTTCCCTGCCTGTCTCTCCCCGTCCCGGCCGATCCGAACCCGTGCCATTTCTTTTCCTCCCGGACCAGGGACAACCGCGATCGCGTTGGGAACGATCAACCCGAACGGGAGGAGAGATCCGAATCTCGGGCAGGACCAGTTTATAAATAACACCAGACGTCGTTGACCTACGTCTTTCGGCTGGCCTTTTTCTTACGCCTCGACTTCTCCCCTTCTAAGATTCTTCACTCGCGACGCCAATTTTCCAATGAATATTTTTAGCTACCACTCGCGCCCGCGCGCCCGCGTGTGCGTGTGTGTTTCCACGTTTCGCACGCCGTTTCGGTCACACCTAGCCTCTCTCCGAACCTAGTTCGTTAATTTCGTGGAAATCAATCGTTCAGTTTCTCTTTCAAGTTATCAATCGTTTTCATCTATATCGTCTCCGATCCACCCTTTCGCCCAAGGCGAGACAATAAAACCGAGCGTCTTCGAACTTGATGTCTATGTTGATACCTGGCCCGCGGAGACCTCGTTGGCCTAATTGAGACGGAACCCTCGAAACGCGAACGAGAAACGTGTTAACGAGTGAGTGAGAAACGAAACGGGAGAAAAATATATACGTAGCAGAATGTCGGAGCGTAGGAGAAAGATGGAACGCGGGAGCATCAATGAACCGCAAGTTTAGAGGGTCCTTGCACCTTGGCCGTTCCCTCTGCGCGGCAAACCGCTTTCTTCTTTTTACTCGCGTCGAAAACACCCACGCTCGCCTCGTCGTGTTGTCGTCGTGTTCTTCTTTCACGATAGGCGATATTCTTCCCAAGGCACGCCTCTCCGGTTGTTTTTGACGGGCCGAAGCCCCGGCGTCCTTCTTTCGTCCCGGACCTAGGGCAAGCCCGAGCCGGTTGAGCCGAGACACCACGAAGAAGATGCTGGGCCATCGACGTCGTCGGCGTCGTTGGTGCTGTTGTTGTTGCTGCCGGTGCTGCTGCATGTAAGTTATTCTCGGAGGGAGGCTGCGGTCCGTAGGTTCGACGCCCCGACCTGGCCCAACTGGAAAAAACCGGTTTCTTCGTTGCGCTCTTCCTTTTTTGCCTGCATCCTCGCTTTTTGCACCGCGAATACCTCGACTCTCCTTCTGCTGCCCCGTTCTCTTTCTCTTCTCGTTCCTTTTCCGTGCGCTCCGTCCTCGTCTTTCTCTTCTCTTTTACCCGTGCCCCGATCCTCTCTTTGCTCCTTTCTCTT